TTCGACGGGCATGGCCTTTGGACCACGGGCCGCGTATGACTGACTTGAAATCGAGACGAAGAGGCAAGCAGGGTTTAGAGTGAATTGGGGATGCTTTGTTTCAGCGCCGCGCCACAACCCGAAAGGCGTTGATGGAAGTCGACGAGGTCGGCGTGAGAACCATGTAAGGCTATCCGACGCCACAAAAGAGTCGTGATGCAGGGGTGAAGGGAGAATGGTCGTGGTCGTGATGAGTCGTGGTGGTCAGGGTGTGGTATGGACACAGTGAGCACGCACCCGGCAGGGGAAGCCTAGAGGGCAGTCAGAACCCCCGGATTCCCGGATCCATCGATCTAAAGATAGGGTTCCCTCGAGATCATGCATGTAATGTGATGCAGGTGGGATTGGAATTGAGGCAGCTGCAGGAATTTGGGGGCGGCCCTTGGGCCTTGGGTCGACAATGCCCCGTTCTCAATTTTATGAACGAGCCTAGAAGCACTCTTGCTCCATCACGCGGAGGGGTCCAGAGAAGAGGTGCGGTATTTTCCGGATGCTGGTGAGGGATTAGCCGTCGAGGGAGCTGGGAGGCAAATCGAGCAGACCTCCTCGCGCGGTTGGAACGAGGTAGGAGTGAGAAACGGTGGTGACCGATGGTGAGAAGGGCTTTTGACGGTCGAGCAGCCGTTGGCCGTCCCGAGCGGGCCTGAAACGCAGCATGGGTTGCACGACGCAGGATCCCTGCTGCTGCGCTGGTGAAGAAGGGGAGCGGTTGGCGGTGCTGGTGGACGAGAGACATGCGGATGAGGATGGGACGTCGCGTCTGGTCCGCTGCTCGATTGGGCCGCTAGGGCTCGCGGGGGTGAGTTAGGGCTCAACACCCGTTTGGGCAGTCGGTGTCAGGGGGCGAAATACCGCAGCGGAAGGGGCTGAGTCAGCAGCTCCCTGGCGCCTCGGAGAAAGAGCGCGTGAACTCTGGCGGAAAGCTAGGCTGGATACGGCTAGACAGCATGACAAATAATCGGCCAATCAGGGCGGTCCCGACGCAGCGGATGGACCAATCGCCAAAATGTCGCAGCGGTGCCTTCCTCAACAGGGAGTTTCTTAACGAAGCAGGAGCAATTGAACCGGGCAGCTGGGAAGGCGCGAGGGGATGGCAATTCCTGCTGTTTTGGGCAATGTTTCCTGTTTAGGCCATCACCTGACCCTCGCTGGCTGCGGGTGATGGCTGCCCGCCAATCACGGCTCCCGTTTCGTCATTGACTGGATCTGCCGGGACAAACTGCAGACTTCGCGCTCTCTCTCTCTCTAATAACTATAGCAGCCGTTTCTATATCCCTCTCTACCTCCCGCCATCACACTCCCTCAGCACTCGTGCTTTCTCTCGCTCGTCAGGTTCCAATATGAGCAGTCAGAGAGCCCGGCGGCGAATCACCCGCGCCTCCACCTGTTGGTTCCCGCGTCAGTCCAATCACCCTCGTCTCCCTCTCCACCGCAACCACAGGAACCACAGATGCCTCGCTCACAACATCCCACAGGTCAGTGCGCCAGTCTCCGGAATCGTCGAACTAGTCACGGATTGCGTTTCTCTGCAGAATCCCCCCTCTTCATCACAGACAGATGGCATCTTCCCTCCTGCAAGACCTCCTCCATCCCGAGAGACTGGAAGCCAGTGAGAGCCGCCGCAGCAAGGTCTTGGATCTGAGAGGTCGATTCTGCTCCCGTGAAGTGGGCGGCAAGGTCGCACCCCGATCTCTCCGGAGGGCCACGGGCACACATTCCGGTGACGAGTATTATTGTAGTCTCGCACACAGAATAGTCTATATCCGCCGGTGATATTGCAAACAATAGCATGAGTATTTCAAATTGCCCAACCCGCTCAGTAATCATTCGACGCGACTAGGTTTGTGGCCGATCGAATCAGCGCGGCGATCACTGTCAGATTGCCCATTGACAAGGATGATCCCAGCTGCCGCCCTGAACGGCTTTTCCATGGATCTCGCGATCTGAGATTCAATCCACGAACGGCCTCGACCCTGGAGAACCAACCTGTCTGCACGGCCGCTCGATCAGCAATTTTTTGCATTATGGGTCGTCCAAGAGCATCTCAGCACCGCAGACTCGCAGAGTTGGCAATTTTGACATCGTCGACTGTCATGGCCGGTAACTTCTGGTCAACCGTGGACGACTCGCCCATCCCCAAGCTCACGATCCAAGCCCAGATCCAACTCTATCCTCGCGCTATTGCTTAGGCCTGGAGAGGATGAGCGGTAAAGGCAAACGGGCGAGGGGGAAAAGATCGCAACTCTACTCTGCTAGCTTGCACATGGACCACCTCGATTTAGTTATTAGATCTCAGCGTAGAGCACACCACCCACGGCGAGACGAAAGGCCAGCGGCAAATATGGCCATCACCGTCTATAAAAAAACCTCGCTCTCCGGGCTCGAGACATGCTGCTGGCGTTGCTACTCTGCTACGCCACATCAAAGCGTGTTGGCTCCCGCAGCGCTCTCTCTCCCTCCCTGTCCTGTAGCTAGCTCTCACCCTGGGCCTCGCTGTCTCTCTTCTCGCTCCTCTCTCCTTTCCCCTTCTTTCTCTTGCTCCCTCTTCGCAGCCATCATCCACCAGCCAGACGTCCCGAAGAATTGACCTGAAGCCAGCGGGTGGGCCTGGTAAAACAAAACTAATGTACGTCGAAGCAGAGCACTGCACCTTGTCGATCCCGTCCGGTCTGCTGTGTTTGACCATGGCCCTATTCCACCGTGTTGTCTTCTGCTTCTTCAACCCACATCAGCTATCAACACGCACTCCCTCCAATCCACCAAGCCCTTCTGCCCCCCCGGCATTGGCGTTGAAAAGTGGTTATGCTGCTTATCCCCGCCCTGTGCTGCCTGTATGACCCTTTTTCTCGTCCTGCTTGTGTTGCGCTGGCGGTGGCCCATCTCGTCACCCTGTCCCGCTGCCTTCGATCCGTTGATCTAGAAGCATGAATATTAGCTAGCCAGTTTTTCATCCCACATGCATATATATATATCGTTTGCCAGACTTACTTTAAAATACGTACGACTACCCGCTCTCCTGCAACTTCGCGCTCTTCCTTCCAGTATCTATCTCTCCCTCATCCATCTCTCTCCTGCTCTCTCTCTCTCTCTCCCACGCTCGCTCACTCACTCTTTTACTCACACTCTCACACTCACACGCACTCTCTCCCTCTCTCTCTCTCTCTCTCTCTTGCTCTTCGGTCTCCCTCTATCTTTCAACCCGGCTTCTCTCCGCACGCACACACCCACAGCGTGCTAATCCGCACAAATAAACAAGACCTCCAAAGTCCGGAAAACGACACCCCATCCCGAGACAAAGCTAGACCGAAAGCATTATCCAATTCTGCTTTCAGAGCCATTCCCAGATCGTGCTTCCGTTGGATGTGAGTACAAAGCGTGTTTCCTAGATTACCGAGAAAGAAAGACACAAAGAACTCCGCAACCACTCTTCTTCCCTTCCAAAACAACAATCACAAAAGCACAAGGCCCAAGCAGCCATGGCTGGAGACGAGAGCAGCAGAAGCTGGGACCTCGCGGCCTCTGTGTCCTGTCTACATTGCAGAGGTAAAGCTCGCAGACAAGGAAGCACAGCCGCCCCTCGAGCTCCCCTTCAACAAGGCCCTTCATCCCCATTGATGCCATCAATTTGATTGCTGACTGTTCTGCAGTACTTGGCTTCTTGAAAGGAAGCGAACCTCTGTTCTAAACAGTCCGGACAGGCGCGTCCTGCATGTCTCTGGTTTAGTCTTCCTCTCCCGCGCGTACTGCTTCTATTCTAGGAAGACGTGTGGAAACGAGACGAACAGAGAACACATCTCCACCCGGCTGGGCTCGAACCTTTTCTCTCCCGGATGATTGCGACCATATCATGCCAAAAGCGGCTTCCCACTCACTCTTAGCTTCTGATCCCAACGGGTGTGCCTTGTCTTGAGTGTTAATTGCTCCCGACAGGTCTCTGCCACCACTTCCACACAGCTGTCTTCAGCCTGGATTGCCCTGGAGCGAATTGGGTCACTCACGCCCTAAAAATAAAAAGGCAGAACATACTGCTCCACCTCCGAACCCATCGCCTCCAGAATAGAAATTCTGATTTCTATTCTACGCGACAGAAGACCAAACACCCCAGCTGCCCCTTTTCGGTATCCCTTTTGTCCTTTCCGTTGCCGGGCTCCTGAAGCGGGCATAGTCTCTTGTTCCCTTCAATACACAAAAAGAAGCAAAAGGATCCTCCCAGCGACCTGCAGATAAAGCAAGAGGGAAGAAGGCGCTCAGACATCTCTGGTCCCTCAGGCAGCACCAAAGCGCCAGTTCAGGCATATCCCGCCACGTGGAAGTGATTCACAGAAAGGCTTCAGCAAAGGGAAGACGGGGGAATCTCCCGACGAGTTTTTTCAAGAAGAAAAATTGAAAAGGTATCTCAGTGTAACAACTCTGCATTCAATTATTCCTCCGCTTCCCCTTGTTTCAAATTTTTTTCGCATTCAACGAACTGACCATATTTTTGTCTTCCTTCAGAAAACAAACGGACTCCACCATTGAACGCTTCGACCTCTGCGCTTTGCCCATCTCCTTCGACGGAAAAAGGGCGCCTAGACCACACAGCTTTCCTAGCTTGAAGGATTCCCAGAAGCTTGGGCTTTTTCTTTCCATTGACGAATTTGGGCTAAGAAAACGGGGCAAGTTCCTCTGACTTATTGTCGGAGACTTCCGGCCATTCACTTGCTGAAAAAAGGTCGCATTCTGTGAATCATCTTGTTATTCAGGATTCATTCAAAAGGACACTCGAAGCCCAGCCAGAAAGATATAATTCCCAACCTTCCATCTTTCAGCGATAGGAAGAAGTTTAAGGGGGAAAAAGAGAGACGTTCAAAAACCCGAATCATCCTTCATTGAGCTGTGAAGGAGTGACCAAACGCACGAAAAAGCACCCTTGATGAGCTCTTTGACGATAATGAACCATCAACATCCTCCTTCGCCTCCACCATCTGCAGACGGTGATATCAAAAGTCCCTTTCACAACATGTCCCAGAATAATTCATCACAGCCCCCGTTTCTTGGAGACCAACATCCTTTCACAGTCATGTATGCAAGGCAGGAATATGCATATCCAAAGGTTGAGGTGGAGAACGGAGAGGCTCCTGGGGTAATGGTGAGTGGCCCTTGACTCATGCGGGCTGTGGCCCTCCTTTGGCTAATGGAACAAAAAAGCCCGGATACCCGCAGCCTGGTGCTTTCAATAGCATTCCAGGAGCCGAGTTTCCACAGATCACATCAGTTCCTCAACTGGTATGCTGGACAAACCTTCACTGCTCCAACTGACAAAGACATGTCCATCGCTAATTCAATCCTTAGACATATGTCCGTGCGGCTCAACTTTCGAATCATCATCACCACCATCACCAGCATCGCGCCGCAGATATGAAGAGAACAAGAAGCGGAGGGTCTGTTTCTTCCAAGATTGCGCCAAAGATTCCCAAGTTCCCCGGCACCGATAAGAGTAGGGTTCAGAGAGTGACAAGAATCCGAAAACGAACAAGAGCTCCGCGGGCCGACAAAAATGGACCCATCATCAATGGGCCACTGAGCATCCTGACTAAAGACATGGTGCACATCCCAATCCGCGACATGGAAGCCTGGGTGAATCGGTCCACTGAAGTCCGAAGAAAAGAAGTTGCCGCGAAAAACGGCAAGATCGCGAGGCCAATGAACTCTTTCATGCTGTATCGCTCTGCATTCGCGGAGCGAACAAAGGAGTGGTGCTCGCAGAATAACCACCAAGTCGTGTCCCGGGCGTCGGGTCAGAGTTGGCCACTTGAGCCGAAGGAGGTTCGAGATTTGTACGAGCAGTACGCCACGATTGAGCGGGATAATCACCAAAAGGCCCACCCGAATTACAAATTCGCGCCCAACAAGACACAGAACACGCCCAGGAAAAAGCAGGCGGCGGAGAAGGAGGATGAGAATAGCGACCTTGATGACGCTGGGTTTGGCGTACCTGTCTGCTCGCGTCCGTTGAGAAAATGGGCCAATCGATCCGACGCCGATGAGGGATTTGGTAGTCGCACCTCCACGCCGTTTGATAAGGACAGCAGCTATGAGAGTCGGAACTCGACGCCATTTGATCGGGATATGTACATGCATCAACCGGACATCAACCCGTCGTCGTGGGAGACAGTGAATCCTGGTCGACCGCTTCCAGGCGTGCTTTCCCCGCCAGAGCAGAGCCATTACTACCAACCGTCGATCCATCAAAGCCTACTAGGCCCGAACATCGAGGACGTGACTTATAAGAAGATGGGCATCCCCGGCGCTTCGTTCGACACACAGGCAACGCTCACCGGCCTTCCTCGAAATTCCCATCCCTGACCTTATCCCCCAACAGCCCAGTCGAGGACATGAGTCCGCCCAGGTCGACCCTCAGCTCCTGGAGTTCAACCACCATCCTCATCATCATCATCAACACCACCAACAACAACAACAACAACAAGCCGTCGGACTGCCATCGGCTGACGCAGCCACTTACCCCAGCCAACTGGACCTGTGGCAAGTCCCCCCGACGAACCAGCACTACGTGCACAACGGCATGACGGTGCAAGAAGGGGAGGGATATCCATCAGCGCACATGCAGCAGAGCGGGTTCCATAACGGCGCGGCCATGGTGGAAAATCGCGATGTCTGGGGGGATGCTGGGCAAAGTGGCGAGGGTGTGAAGCAAGAATTCGGACAAGAGTTTGATCAGTGGTTGACGGGACATAATCCGTACTGATCTAATTTATTTCGCCTTTTCTTTTGGTTTCTTTTCAGCTTTTTTATGCGATGTCCATCGGTTTCCAGGGTTGGAGGCGAAATGGGATGGAGAACGAGGAATTGGCGTTGCGGGCCATGGGGAAAGCTTTTCTGTTATTTCTCTTTGCAGGGTTTGAGATTCGACTGGGCCGATGATGCCTGGCTCATTGAGGCATGGGAGCCTTCGCTCCCTTTCTCCCTCTTTTTCCGACGATGGGATCCCATCTTTGATATGTACTCTTCTGCGGTTTGGGTCGGCGATCTGATCTTCTTAGAGTTGACATGTGCATGTGTCCAGTGTTTTTCCTTTGGATCACAAATTGGTATAATTGGAGATGGATCTTGTCTCTTGCCTTTGGCGTTTGGCGTTGGCTCTCTGGATCAGTATGGAAGGGACTCGGGATAATATTGGACACGGGCGGTTATCTGTTTGGTATTTGTGCTCGACAATGGGCTAGGCTTTTGTGATAGAAAAGAATAACTAGCAATTTTGGCATTAAATTCTGAAGTTGACGTTCGTTCGGGATGATTCGGCTTCGACATCAGCCTTAAAGTGTGTTTTCCGAGAGCTTGCTTCCAACGCGACGCGACACGGAAGCACACATCAACACGGACTCCATATAATATTGATTGAGCATCACCTTCAACGACAAAACGATCACATCAAACACGCCGAAAACAATCCAGCCTCCTTTCCTCCCATCATGTACGGCGATCAAGGAAACAAACTGGTAGCCACCCATCTCCCTTCTCCCCAACGAACACCCCAGGCCATCTAACCCACCCTCCAGGTCCAACACGCCAAACGCATCCAATCCCTCCCGCACCTCCCCCCGCACCACACCGACCTCACCCGCACCCTCATCCGCGAAGTCCACGACCTCAACGCCAACGTCACCGCCCTCCTCGCGCCGTACACCTCCCCCGACTCTCCCACGCCCGCCTTCAACCCCTCCGCCAACCCGGCCACCGCCTGCGCCCTGCTCGTCAACCACCTGTGCATGCGCCGTAACAAGCGCTGTCTGCTCGCGTACCACCGGGTGCGGGCGGAGAAGGTCGAGGAGCTGTGCTGGCGCGGGTATGATGTGGTGGAGTATCAGCAGGAGAGGCGGCGGCGGGAGCAGCAAGGAGGAGGAGGAGGGGCGGGGATGGGGAATGTGTTGAGTGCGGAGGAAGAGGAGTATTTGAGTAGGTATTCGGAGATGTTGCTGGGGTATAAGGGGCGGTGGACGGATGTGGATTTGACGGGGAGTTTGGAGCCGCCGAGGGATTTGTTTATTGATGTGAGGGTGCTGAACGATGTGGGGGAGGTGCAGACGGAGTATGGGTGAGAAT